GAGTTTACCTGGAGAGAGTTTCGGGGGTCAACGCCCCCGCGGCCCGGTCTGTGACCAGGCCTCCTGGTGGATCAGCGCCTGATCAACCAGGCTGTTGCTGCTGGCTGCACGCAAACCAACGTACGAGCCACAGCCCGGCTGATCAGGAACTGACTTTAGGTGCTTGTCCAGTGCCAGCTTGAAGACTGCCAGGGGTCTGTTGGTAATCCCCCTTATGTGTGCTGGGAGGCAGTTGAACAGTCTCGGGCCCCTGACACTTATTGTATGGTCTCTTAACATGCTAGTGACACCCCTGCTTTTCATTGGGGGGATGGTGCATCGTCTGCCAAGTCTTTTGCTTTCGTAGTGAGTGATTTTCGTGTGCAAGTTCGGTACTAGTCCCTCTAGGATTTTCCAGGTGTATATAATCATGTATCTCTCCCTCCTGCGTTCCAGGGAATACAGGTTTAGAAACCTCAAGCGCTCCCAGTAATTGAGGTGTTTTATCTCCCCAATGGAAATAAGTCACTCTGTCTGACTTTTTTGGGCTATCCTAGGTTCTCTACACATATGCTGCTATGTACGATAATTCTATGTAACTTTATTTGTATATACGTACTTGAATAAACTTACTTACTTACTTAATCTCTTTCTGGGAGATACCTGCTGACAAGTTCTTCATGGGTGACCGAGGTAACTGCTGTATGCCATTTCTTATCTATCCTATAAAACAGGGTTGTCTAACCTTTATTAGCTTATGTACTCCAAACCAAATTTGTCCCAACCTTTGCACCTCATTTAATAGGAAAAAAGTTGTTTGAATCAATATCCAAAATACATTGAAGTCACATTTTATTGAAGATTTGTACAAATAAACTCCTCTAATAATACAAAAAAATATTGATAAATTAGACACATGTGCAACTCTTGGGTATCTTTATTGAGGAAACGTTTCACCACACAGTGGCTTCATCAGTCCATACGTAGGAGAAACTTGAAGAACAGGAGGAGAATGAGGTAATCAGTCCCTCAACCTTGAGTCGATGTGTTCAGTCCATCAATCTTTAGTAGAAAAACGGCATATGAGCGGAGAAGCCCGCTTATAAACCATATGGCCAGGAGAGGTGCAGCAGTCATAGGTGGTGTCACATTTGTTCAATGTGGAAGTAGGTTGTGCCCAAAAAATTAGGCAAGCGATGAATTCCTAAGTAATAAGATCCCAAGAAGTTGCAGTGTCTGACAGGTTTATAGATGAATGGTTCAGAGAACTGACATGTTGATAAATTAGAACATGTGCAAACTCTTGGGTATTTTTTATTGAGGAAACGTTTTCGCCACACAGTGGGTTTTATCAGTCCATACGTAGGAGAAACTTGAAGAACAAAGGGGGAAAAATGAGGTAATCAGTCCCCCAACCTTGAGTCGATGTGTTCAGTCCATCATCTTGATGGACTGAAGTGTCCAAGAGTGTCTTATGTGTCAAGATGTCATATTAGTAATTATAATAATAATATCAATAATAATCACTGAGTCTCGTTAAATGTCGTATATTGCATTAATATACATATATTCATTAATCCATCTACGATATTTTTTCAAAATTATACAATAAACACAATACATAACATATGAAGATGATAAATACACTCCACAGTAGAATAAATAAACATAAATATGAGATGTGGTAGCCAGACAACTTGTACGAGTGACGGCAAGAATAATGTTTTCTCTAGTCCAACTTAAGAGAAAATGTGTTACTGGGGGTAAATGTAGAAAATTATTCCTTTCGTATGCCTTCACTCTGAGCGCCATTTCTTCTAAAAATGGTGTTACATGAGAATGGGAGTGTTCCTCTTCATTTATTCCACCATATCAACATAGAGACAACTTGTACACAATGTAACTTGTACACAAACCAGACGTGTGTAGTGATACTGCTCCTGTGGGGAGCAGCAGCAGGATAATATTGCACCACCTCTTGGGGCCCTTAACAACAACAACAGCTTGGTGTGTGTCATGGGTGCCAACACATGGTGTGTGATTCTCTTCTCTTATATCCATATATTAGTGATGCAGATTACATGGTGAGTTTAAATATGTGGCCTGTAGTTATAACTTTTCTCTTGACATATGCAAGACATCACCCTCCCTGTAGAAGCAGTTATTAGATGTACTAGTCATTATATTTTGTTGTTGCAGAAGTACTATGAAGATTCTATATTCAATAAAGCCTAGAGATAAGGCTTGTGTTTCTATCACGTGTTCATCTGGTTTATTTACAAAACTCGCATATGCCTGGTTTGTTTATATAACTCTGCGAGTGTTATCTCTCATGCACTCATTCTCCCTCTCTCTCTCATTTATTCGTTTTATCTTGTTTACTCACCTCTGACGCTACACTAAGACAAAAAATATTTTAAGGTAAGTAATGAGTGAACTGTATATGCATTTTATTGCTCTGGGATGCTTAAGTGCCAACAATTCTCAAAATAGCAAGGGTCACTCCGATCCACAAAGGCGGTGACCAAGCTGACTTGAATAACTATAGATCAATATCTAACTTACCACTCCTCTCTAAAATCTTTGAAAAACTAATACATAGGTGGATATAATCCTACCTTGTCTCACATAACATACTAAACCCCTGTCAGTTTGGATTCGGGAATAATAAAAGCCCAAATGATGCTATCGTACACATGCTAGAACTAATATATACCACTCTCGAAAAGAAAGAAGTCCTGCTGGGAATTTTCATTGATTTACATAAAGCTTTTGATACAGTCAACCATGAACTGCTGTACACTAAATTAACACACTATGGTATAAGAGGCCACTCCCTCAACTGCCTAAAGTCATACCTTAGTAACAGAAGCCAATATGTGTACACAAATGGTGCAAACTCTTCCACTCAACCAATCACAGTAGGAGTCCCACAGGAAAGTGTCCTTGGTCCACTCCTCTTTCTCATCTACATCAATGACCTACCAAATGCATCACAGTTACTCAAACCCATATTATTTGCAGATGACACTACATACGTCTTCTCCCACCCAAACCCAGTCATACTCACCAACACTGTCAATGCTGAATTGCAGAAAATATCTGCCTGGATGATGACCAATAAACTTACCCTGAATACTGACAAAACCTACTTCATTCAGTTTGGAAACAAAGCTGCAAATGCTCCACTTAACATAACGCTAAACGGATTACCCGTCACAAGACTCGAAGAGGGAAAATTCCTAGGAATCCACCTTGACAGTACCCTCAAGTTACAGACACATATAAAACAAATCACCAAGAAAATCTCTAAGACTATAGGCGTACTATCAATGATATGATACTATGTTCCACAATCAGTCAGAATGATAACAAATTCCCACTCGTGACAGCATACTCCACCAATATTCAAAAGTCTAAATCTGCTCACCATTAACAACATCCATACTTATTCATGTGCCTACTATATACATAGAACAATACACGCAAACATAAACCCTCCACTAAAACCTCTCACCAACCTTAACAGGACACACGACCATAACACAAGACACACATCTCTTTTTGATGTACCACGTGTCCACATCACACTGTGTAAAAACTCTATGCACATTAAGGGCCCCAAAATTTGGAATTCATTACCAGAAAATATTAAAGTAACCAGGTCTGAAAATCAATTCAAGACTCTTCTCAAAAGCCACTTAATCACCCTAGACTAAATACTCAATATTCAATATTTAACACTACCAATAAATCTACCAATTACCTAAATCTTAAAACTTCAATACTAGACGACCAAGTTCACATATTGACAAATTACCACATAGAAATATACATATCTACCAAAAGCAGTACTGCCCATCACCAAATTGTAGCATTCCCATATTGTAAACTACTGGAAACTACTCTTGAATCATGTTTCATAATAAGCATTTTTTAATATATGAATACAGTGGACCCCCGCATAACGATTACCTCCGAATGTGACCAATTATGTAAGTGTATTTATGTAAGTGCGTTTGTATGTGTATGTTTGGGGGTCTGAAATGGACTAATCTACTTCACAATATTTCTTATGGGAACAAATTCGGTCAGTACTGGCACCTGAACATACTTCTGGAGTGAAAAAATATCGTTAACCGGGGGTCCACTGTATATCATTGTATGTATAAATTAGATTCACTTTTAATTAACAGAACTACTGTACAACTATGATAATTATCTTTAGTGTTAAGTAGTCAGTAAGCCATTAAATTAAGTCAGCCCATAATGCCTAGGCATAATAGAGGCTTTCTTTACACTGCAACCCATTATTGTAAATACATAATCTCAGTGTACTACTTGCAAATAAATAAATAAATAAATAAATAAATAAATAAATAAAATATTATGTGTAAGTTGGCTGGCCTGGTATGGTAGCCTGGCTGGCTACCATACATACCACACTTGATTTCTTACAATAAATACTACTCATCTCATCTTAGATTAAGACTACAAATATTTTAAGGTAAATAATGAGTGTACTATATGTGTATTTTACTTTTTAATTGTTTTTTAATGCCTAGTTCTATTACTAACTTAATATATGTTAGTGTAAACTTGTTATCTAGTATTTATATGCATTTATAAGTGGAAATAAGAGGGGTTCCACTTTACGGCGATTTCCACTTTACGGCGGTAGCCTGGAACCTAACCTGCCGTATAAGTGGGGCCCTACTGTAACGACTCTCACATTTACTAAAAATCAGTAAGAAATAGCAGAATTTTTTTCCTTTTAATATGCTGGCCATCTCCCACCGAGGCAGGGTGACCCGAAAAAGAAACACTTTCACAATCAATCACACTATCACCAACTTGCCAGAGGCACACACATACGACAGTTCAGATGCCCCTCCAAACAGCAAATACATAAATAACAAAAAGTGTGCATGAGCAATGCAATATTATATGTTATTAGTAAATTAAGTACAAAAATCTATTGATTACAAATATAATAAGAAAATCTAAACTACTTTACTTACTGTAAATGGAAAATACCAGGGTTGTGGAACCCCAAACTCTCCTGGCCACACAGCTTCAATATACCACGTCAACAGTGAGAAGATTATGCTGTCCAAGATGAGCATACCAAACACATGAGCCAAGGTAAAGGAATCATCAGGAGACACCCCAGTGAAGAGCAGATTCCACTGTATGCCTGAGCCAGTACCTTCAAACATGGAAGTCAGCTGGCATCCAAGACTCATTGCAGTATTGGAGAGAAGGCAAAGTATAATCTTGTTGGTGAGTGTAAGGGTGGCATAACGTGGTCGCAGGAACATGTATGGCACGTATGTGAAGAACCACACCAGGCCAGTTAATGCTGCTGCAATGTTGGCTGCAAGTGAAAAAAAAACTTGTTACATTTCTTGTCCACAATTTTTTTCACCAGATTTGAAAAATTTATCATGTGTTATTTATATGTATAATTTTTTGCTATCTCTAATATTAAAACTGCTCTTTTAATGAACAGTTTTATTGCTTAGCATTATCACTGCATTTCATAATTTTTTCTTCAGATAACTTAGCATTCAAATAATCCAACTTTAACTATTCAATGTTAAATAATTTTAAGTTCAAGATTTAATCCAACCAAAATTCTTTGGAGAACTATAGACTTTTCCATATATGACACAACCAATGTAAACCAATTACTGTAACACATGTATCATCTGGAAAATAAATTTGCATTTGTACTGACTGCAAAATTAATAATGTTTTGAATTTTTTACCAAACCAGCTGTCTCCCATTGGGGGCAGGTCAACCCACAAAAGAAATATTTTCACCAGATAGTGCAAAAATAAAAGCCCCCCCTACATACCATCAATACAACAACATTTGTATTTGCAATTATACAGGGTCTAAAGCCATCAAACAACAAAATACCAGGCACAAGGCACTCTTCGACATCCCTCGTGTCAGTCTCACACTATGCAAAAATACAATGCACATAAAGGGCCTGAAGATCTGGAATTCACTACCTGAACTGGTAAAGGATCCCCTGATTACATATAAATTTAGGGCTATGCTTAAAAATCATCTCATCTCTCAATACTAACCAAACCAACCAAAACAACTTCTAATCAGTTTGAAGCAACTCTCTCAAATACGTATTATATTATATAACCTCCAGTCTATTAAAACATCCACCAATCCATAAAATATTACTGTCTGAATCATTAATTGTAATATTGTTTTTATTATGTGCAACTTCAAGATTATTATATTTACAAACCTTGTAAACTCCTCTCTCTGCTCCTTTTTCTCTAATGTTACCTCTATATTTCCATCT